CTCCATCTACGGTATATTCGTCGTTTCATCGAAATGATTCCACATCGTACACCAGATATATGGTTAGTGTAATAGGCCGAGTAGATCGTAAATCTATCAGAAGACCTAGATGAGGTGACAGAAATCGATGATGTTGTGAAATGATGTTCTTAGACTCATAAGACTTCGTGTGATTAACGTGCAATCGCACGCCTTGTGCACAATTTGACGTCGATCGCACTTTTACTTCTTGGGAATGTTGTACTCTTCTCGGGTAACTAGAGTTCTAGTACTATACCTAAAGGTAATTGCTTAAACGTAACGCCGTACTTCTAATAGGACTTGTACCTCTTTTTTAAAGCTAATTTGAAGTTAGAGGGGTGAGAAAAAATAGCATTTGTATCAATTTGACGCAAAATCTGTTTTTTCACCTTTCGGGCTACAGTGGGTGAGAAAGTTAGGAACGTTTCAAAAACCGTGCACCGACAGCGACCAAATTCTGAACTCTGTTATATGTTCCAATAATTCTAGGCAGATTACGTAGGGCTACGGTAGGGTAACGATGGAGCCTCACCTACCAGCTCCCTTCATTTATTATATCATCATCTGGTCCTAACGTGTTAGATCTTGAACTTCCCTGTCCTTCATTCATTTCAAAAGGAAAACATTGTTATTATTCTATATGGTTTATGGTAAAAGTGCCTTTGTACCGTCTATGTTTTCAAAAACTGTAAATTATTTACACAGCTTGTGTTTCAGTACTATTTTGTGACTACGAGGTCTAAATTTAACATAAGTCTAATTTTAACATCCCCATAATTGTAACAGGTGTGGACTAAATTTGTCTCTTCGTGTTTGTTTTGGAAGAGATAGTTAAATCTGGCATTCTGCCAATTTCACCTCCACTTTTGTAAAAGTGGTTTGAGCCAGAATGTGGAGTGATTCTTATCACTTGAAAACAGTGCAGGCACACTGTATTGCACTTGAATAGCGGACCAAAGAGCAGAGCACGCGCAAGTGCGAGCAAGCTATGCGCACGGTGTGTATTTACGTACGCGCAGCAGCACATTCTTCCTCTCTCTCGTTCACTTGAGATTATATGCTTTGCAACAATCCTCAAATAATGTGTTTTACGTCAGAGACAGTTTCGCGACACAGCGATTTGCTGGCGCCAAACTTCTTGCGTTTTCACTCATCCCGGGGGCGCGCTATTTACACACACCCGCATAGGAGACACGAGAATTGTCGTTTAGCCAGCTTATCAACATCGGCCCGCCGCTGCGCAACGCAACTGCTTGAAATTCTCTCGTCAGTTCGCGAGTAGAACAACATCAGCAACAGCAGGGCGCACGACAAGTACATGACAAAGTTTGCGCTCGCCAGCGCGCTGTTGCTGCTCTAAAGCATGTTGTGCCGAGTAATCTGCAGGTCGCGTGACTCGAGCGACTAACGCGCTCTCATCGTGCTCGAGGTGTATTTTTAGTTGTTTTGAGGTAAGTCGAGAGTAGTTAACGCTCTTTCCTCAAGGCACGTGAACACTTACTCAACTTCCGGCGCTGCTGTGTTCGTGATGTTGTCGCCGTGTGTTGCGAACCGATGTAGATGAACTTGGTGAATCGCGACTAATCGCGACGATTCAGAAGCGATTAGGAAGAGTTTTTGGCAAGAGTAGCGGCTATGGTTGATGGTGATGGTATGGATGGTGTGGATGGTGTGGATGGTGTTGATGGTGTTGATGTTTGATGGTGTTGATGGTGTTGAGGGTGTTGATGGTGTGGATGGTGTTGATGGTGTTGATGGTGTTGATGGTGTGGATGGTGTGGATAGTGTGGATGGTATGGATGGTGTGGATGGTGTGGATGATGCTGATGCTGGGGAGGTGGGGATGGTGGGTATGATGTAGATGGTAAGAAGTAGTGATGGTGCGGATGGTGCTGATGAAGAGAAGAGGTGATGCCTTATCTCTCCAAGAACTTATTTCTTGCCCAAAAATGAACTTACTATGTTCAAGCACGAAAATATGGTCTACTCTTCTTTTCCTCTCCCCTCCCCCTCCCTTCCCCATGCAACCATCTTAACATCGGTCGGATCTTAAACTTTTCAGAGTATCATCTTTCAAGTCATTTCGCCAAACTAAAGTTTTTATTCCTTCAATCCCTTTTCATCGAATTTTTTCCCAATCTCATCGTTCTTGCGCAAAATTGTCCATTTTCTCATGTGATCCGCTAAATCCACGACATGTGACACACATCAACGACGAGGCTATGTATGGAATGTGCAGCGGTTTGTACAAACACACACCCACATTCCCCGTAACACTCGCACACACATTGACATCCGTTTCAACAAAGGACTGCGTTGTCGGTCGTAGAAAACCGAAATCCAAGCGTTCCTAGAAAATTCGTCCCTCTACCGCACGAACTGAGAGATGTCAGCTGATATTTATGCGAGAACGACGACACGTGAGGTGTGTGCAGAGATTTGACGATTATGGCTGCAGAAAGCGTCAGCATGAGTGCTGTCACAAATCAAGATAGTAGTTACAATGATGACTCGAAGTGCACGGGATCGCTTTGATAAGCGGGCAATAATAACCCCCATTGTATCCGCGCGTTTCTTACGGTAATAACCTTATTGGGAAGTGAACGTAGGATATGCCTGCGAGTAGTCATCAGTTCCTTTGATGTCGTAAATGACGCCTGCTTGAGGCGCATGGATGAGCAGACATCAGTGGCAATTAGTCTACGTAAGACTATACGTGGGAAAATGATATTTACAGCGAAATAATTGCTAAAAGAATATTTTGCCAACGTCTGCTAGTTTTGCATTTACACATTACCCATCTGACTTTCTTACCGAGTAAATTTCCCCGCGAGTCGCGGTTTACAGGCGACTCGTAGAAAGAGTTAGTCGGTCTTATTGTGCCTAAAAGGAAGAAGCGCGCACTTACAAGAAACTTGAGTGTGTAATTTTGAGGAAACCCGTTCAATACTTACAAGAAACAGCTAGCTTAGCGAGTAATTTCCGCGAGTCGCGCACTGGTTATCACATAATAACTCTTCGCACTTCTAGAAAGTAATTTAATACTTGTTGGTACAGAATATCGACTAGCGCACGCACAGTAGTGTAGGAGCGGGGAACATGCTTCAGGTAGTTTCGTGAATTTTCCCTCTCCCTCGCAACTGACAGATTTTCATACACTCTCACTCGTCGAATTAAGAAACATCTTGAGAGTGTCACTGACCCAGAAAGCCTCAAAATCTCCCAGTACCAGGTGCCCCCGCTTGCTCCACCGCCCTGCGCCCTGCACAACTCTGTACCATTCGTCTGCGTGTGTTCGGCCCCTTTGTCTCTTCACTCCTTGCCCAATGATACTCAAGGGTCATTTGAGTAAAAGGTACTATCAAGATGTCCGGGTACACGGTGGAGCTCGCGAACGCGAGGAATAGAACGGCGACGTTCGTACCAGTTAGTCTCGACCTGCGCCTAGTGCAAAGGTCAAGAATTGTCGCGCGTGTTCATTGCAAGTAAGCACTGTGTGTGTCGCAAAACGGTTGTGTCCGAGCGTCTCACGAGATTTGCACAAAGTTCATCCGAAAGTGCATTTCTATAAAAGTTGAGCACTTCGCGTGGAGCTCAAAATGGGGGAGGGGGGGGGGGTGGATCACAAGACCGCGCGAAGATGTCGTGCCCTATTTGGCACGCGTTGTGGACTCTGCTGAAAACACAATTTCAATACGAGGGCGAACGGCTGTGGCAACGCAACGCCGCGAAGCCGAGCGGCGAGTCCGTGCATCCCTGAGGCACGGGCAATGCACGTGCCCGTACGTCTCCGGATGTACTTTCGGGAGTTCGTGTTTGACCATCTGGGCCAAAGCAGGCAGCACTACGCTCTCGATCGGCACATGCTTGAGTGCGATTCCGCTGTTGATGTGCATCTGAGCGCGAATATAGCAAATCATAAGATCTTAGGCAGAGAGCTCCAGCTCAGTCGAGCGCTTCGCCTGCACTTCCCCTCCCTTTTTCAGTTTTCTATCTAATAACAAAATCTTTCAATAAAAAAACTGTCTGCCACGCTTTAGAAACGGTCACCTCCACCAGAGGTGATAATGGCGGTGCTGGTAGTGATGGTAACGAGGTGGTGATGGTGGTGCTGTAATGTTAATCTTTTTCTTCTTTTCGCGAATCGCGCACAATTTTCATATCAGTACTGCAGCAACCTCAGCTATTCCCCCGCCCCATAAACTTTTCTTGACGAAGATGAGTCTCTATGCCTAGACTTACTTCCTGCTTCATGTTTTAGCGCCGCTTTTCTTCGTTGCGTTTTTTACCGACGCTGAGAAAAAGAAGGAAGCCGCCTAGATTGCTTCTAAGGGCAAAGCAAGTTCGATAGACTTACAGCTCTATTTTCACACTAAGAGTGGGGGAGTTGGTAGGAAATAGGAGGAGAAGTTCCAAAGTGGAAGGTTTTCGGAACTCTGTCATAGTTCCGAAGGTAAATTGTTCTTGATGATACGGTAGTTTGAGATTGAAGATAGTAGGAATACTGAATATAGTATTTTATCTCGTCAGTTCAAACTTGTTTACGAAGGAGTTTCTTCTTTTTGATAAAAATAGACAACCATTCATTTACTCAAATTCCCACGTACTCCTTAAATCTCTTAAGTAAAATTAGTAATCTCCCTATTCTCGCCCTTGCCCCCCACACTGGGTTAAATTTAGTTTGCAGATCTAATTCTCTGAAAGTTTAGAAATAGCTTGCAACTGATCACTTTTTGAACTTTAGTTGACGAGGATCGATCATGTTTACTTCTTTCTCAAAGTTTGGCTCACCTAAACTTCACCTAAGGCCCTAGAGTACCTCATGACCTTCACATGAAATTCAGAAATTCCACTTTGACCTTACTTTTCACTTTTGCAACTGCAGAAATGACTCGTGACTTTTCGCCAGTTGGGAACCTCCTTGTGCAAGAGAGGGCACCTATCGCTCGGGTTTCTTATCACCACCTCGTGCCCGGCAATCAAGAGCTCTTCTCTTCTTCGCTTTGTCCTATTGTATTAGCCCATTGAGCCCTAAATATAGTCTCGTTAGACTTTCTATTTCGTCTCTACTCGATTGACTGCTCTGATAAGAACGCGCTCTCGAACAAAGACAAAGACACTCACGGGTCTGCTTTGAAAGAGCTGGAATGCGTTGATATCGTTCTACTATTCCGTAAATGAATGTCAATCAGCTGAAGCACGTTCTGGTCAGCTGATTCGGCGCTAATTTCGTGCTTATGGGATTCCTCGTATGCTATTTCGTGTGTTTGTGCGCGCTGTGCACATTCGTTTTTGAACCTTTCTGTGCCTGGGCCCGGCCCCGATCGGGGCACTTTTTCGACCACTTCGAATTCAAAACAATGGTGAGACGGTAGCCACAGAGTTTTTCTGCGTTAGTGAGTATGGTCGTACCTCTTGCCCAGCCTTGGCCTTTGAAATCGGGTACCGAGGTACCGAGTGATGCAACAAAGTCGCGAGTGAGCCACAGAATAGCAAAGTATTTTCGCTTGGCAACGTTCCAGACGTTTCTCACGATCAAGGAATTGCTTGGCTGTGTGAAAGACTTCTGTAATTGTTTACTTGCAAATGAGTTAGAGCGAGCTCAAGCCGTCCAGTGGTTACCAAGACAAACGTAGAAGTTATTATCGGTCAACTTTCAATGAGAATAACACATAGGAATTGGCGCCAAGAAAGCGACGATAAAGCGGCTGCTGGCCGGCGCCGGATGTTTTTTCGAACTTTTTTGACTATTCTTATCAACTTTGACTTTTTGGACAGAGTAAAGTATCGTCATTTTGTGTCGATAAACTAAAACTAAACGGAACTATTCTGTGGCTACAGAAAACGCTTCAGGGGGAAATATAAGTCTTTGTGACGAGGAAGTGGGACAAAAAGAATTTTAGAAATCTGCAAAAACTCCATCAAAAAACCCAAGTTAATTTAAAAAGGGATTTTTATATTCGGTAAAAACATTTTTTGGCCAAATATGGCAGAACTTATGCTTATCTAAGACATTATTTAATTTTCGAAGATTTTTTCGATATTTTTAACGATTGCGCAACGCTCGCTGATGATTATGCAACATTTTCGAAAATCCTCAAGCCACGCCCCCTAGCTCATGACTACCCCGAGGAGCTGACAATAATAAGCTAAATATTTCAACATAAAATCATCTCTGCTACAAATATCTTCAAATTTGGCAGATAGCCAAGAAAGTTTTGCAAGAAAGTGCAATGTTCTTAAATACTCAATGTGTTATGACTTGCACTTGACCGAAATTGAAACGAATTATTCACTACAAGGCCGGGGAGACGCGCAGTATGTTGTGCTGAGTTCAAAAAAAATCGTTTGTATTTTGAACTTTGATCTACATCTACTTAAATAATTTTGCCAGTTGGAAACAAACAGACTGAAGTAGATACATTTTTTTTGAAGCCCAGCCAATCGAGGAACAAAACCCAAGGTTTTGGCTTGAGGACTTCCAAAAAATTTCATAAATTGATAATGTTGCGCATTCGCTGGAGAATTTGAGCAAAACTTCAAAAAATCCTAGAAATAGCTCTGAGGCAAAAATCATGCCAGATTAAAAAAATCTAGATAATTTTGAGGCAGCAACCTGTTTTCATGGTAAGCTAGCATGTTAAAAGCGACTAAATCTCATTCGATTTCATCGAGCTTCTTTACAGACAGCTCTATGAGCTGGAACTTCAGCAATTTATTGCATCAGAAGCAACGATGCAATAATCTCGTCTGCAAAAGTCCTGTGAACTTCCAAACTCTAAAGCAGCACTATAGCTCATTTTTTCATAGAACAGCTTTAAACTCTTGAACGAGTCTCCTCTCTTGGGTAATAACTGCATGTGCTCATTCACTAATAGCTCAATGAGTGTCTCCACATCAGACGTTCTATAATTCTCTGCTCATTCTCTCTCTCAGTCTAATCCCATCGGAAGGATCGACGTTCAACATTGTGTAGTCACGTTTCGTCGTAAGTACAATGACGTGTGGTTCGTCGTGTTCTTCTATAGATGAACGGAGTCGAAAGTGATGAGATTCAGGTTTCTGGCGAATTATTTAGATCTATGAAGTTCGCTCTGGAATCAGTTTTTTTGCCACCTCACAAAAAGTTTCGAGAAGTTATTTGTCATCGGCTGTTTCTGTGAAAATCATGTGCTGTAACTGGAATGAGCCCGGCGCCGATGATGGCCCCAGTAGCACTGATTTTTGAACCTGATCCTCTCTAATAAGATGAGACAATGTTTTTTCGAGGGGGGACATGCACAAGGAGAAGCTCTGTATGTTTTCGTTCCTCTCATATTTCACCAAAGAGACTAAACGCCTTAACATACAATGTCCTCACAAATCTTATTTATCACCATTATGGGACTTGAATACGCGGGGACTCGGGGTTCATCTTGGGGCATACATTTTGATTCAAAGGAAATTAATATGTAAGTACAGTATTCCAGTCCTGGAAGAGCACCGGGGGGGGGGGAGAGAAAGAATTTTTTAATTTTGAGCACGATTCTGCACTTCCAGGACAACTGCATGAGAAAACACAGCAAGGGTATGTAAAGCTGATTTTAAGTTCGCTTTGTTGAAACAAACCAATTCAATCAATATGGCAGATATTTACACAAATATTGTTCAAAAATTAGGAAAATAACCAAGAAATTCACGTGAAAAAAAAAACAGATTTTTGAGATCTTTTCACAATATCCAAAAGCCAAAGTCTCATATTCCATTCAAAATGATCTAGCAAGGTCCTTTGACAAAATATGTGCAAGTGCACACTACACAACAAATTCCGGTTCATAGTGTTATAGGACAACGGGTCCAAGGTGCAAATTCAGCGGTCTATACTAATTCTGATTTTCAAAAATAATTGATATTCACTGAATATCTAAGTAGATAAGGTAACCTTAAACCTTTTCCTAGAAGAAATACCCATAATTTTTTGATCTTTTGGTAACCACAAATTATGCCATGTAACTAGCTAATTGAAATGCTTTCCAATCAGGCTCTACTTAGAAGGATTTTACGCCGTTCATCAAAGATCAGAATTTTTCAAACCCAAGCTCATAATCCGCTTACATGTTTACTCGAGTACTAATGATCTCTGAGCTGAGCTGAGCTGAGTGAGTGCACCGAAATTATTTCCCCCGTGTGCTCTGAAAGCATAAAGATTGTGCCTCAAAGTGATCTCTGTGCGCTTAGACACAGGAGGGAGAAAGGGGGAGGGGGGGGGGGGGAGAAGAGTAACAAACATGCAAAGCAACAGCAGGAGCCGTATGGGGCCCTAAGCTGAAAAGGGGCTTCCTATGTGATTAGCGGACAAGAAGGATTAAAGCCTCAGCTGATTCCTCGTCATTTCATCTCATAGCTGCCTCTATCTAATTTATTTGGCTGCTACAGTGCCTTTGCGGTGGCTACAACACCTGCGCGGAGAAATGCCACGCACCGGACGGTATATGGGTCAAATCGAATTTTAAGGTTTGTTATTTTTCTAAGAACACATCATTTCATGTTCTCCAGGCCACACCCACTATGGTGGTCAGTTCCTCCTCTATTTGTGCAAACCACGCCCATTTAGTGCCGATTACAGCATGTATTTCTTGTCTTTCTGTGCATTTGTTTCAGGCTAGCCAATGTGTGCTTTGTAACTGGATTTTCAAGCACTATTACGGTACATTACTGTATTCACATCATTTTTTCTCAGCTCAGAGTGGGGGTGCGGGGTACTGACGTCCTCTCTGATATGTATCCACATCAGAAAGGATATATAGCTCTTGTATGTACAACGGGGCCCCGTCGATATGAAACAACACATTGACGTCGTTCGAATGTCGTGAAACGACGCCATTCCGACGTCGTTCTGTTCCGTGTAGTGTTGGATCAGCTGATCTTGTTCGTTTTCGACCGATGCCGTTTGTGCGAATAGGCGAATCTCATGTGATTCGCGAATTCTGAACGCACATTTTTGCGTTCATTCAGCCACTGTGCTCTGACTGAACGCAGTCGACTTTGTCCGGCCTGCAGCTATTTGTTCGCTACTCCTCTTTTGTCTTTGTTAAGTTGCTTGCGTCACCCTATCGCCAACTCATTAAAAACAGTTTATAGGATGATGAGAGAAAGGGAAAGAATGTGCTGTTTACCTGTGTGACGACTACATTACTCACCTTAGTCTTGTTTAGAGAAGAATTTTTGCCGAGTATCTCTTGTTCAGCGAGAGTCCAATTACTTACCAGTTTTGCACTGGATGACGTGGTTCGCTGAATCGGGATTTTCAAAAATAACGATTTTTTGCAGAAGGTTTAAAAGGAGGGGGAAATAGGCGTAGACAAGCATTTCGTACTTTTATCACTTCCATCAAAGTTCAAGTCTAGTCTGTCTACAAACTCACTACTTCCACGGGAGTTCAGGTCTAGCCTGCCTATAGAATTTGTTCTCTGTTGTAGGGAAACTTATTAGAAGGGGAGGTGGAGGGGGGGGGGGGAGGGCAAAAAAAGATTCACTTCACAAACTACCGCCTTCTGACTAGCGCTTCCTCTTCTTGACCTCTTCCTTGGTCAATTCTGTCTTACTTTCAGAATTTTAGAACGAGTTCAGATGGCATTTTTCCATAAGAAAAACCAACAGAAACTCTTCACATTCTTCAGAATCTGAATAAATTTCCTTTAAATCAGTTCCCCCCCCCCTACCCAAAAATTAGCCCTCTGTTCAACTATAAGTCATATGTTCTCCTATCCTATCTCCCATGTCTGTAGCACTAAAACTCACAACGGTATCATTCTCTATGTCTTATCTTGATTGCTAATGCCCCATAATGACACCCTGAGGCATAATTAGGGTAATTGCTAGATCTGAAAGATGTTTAGTCAGGTGACGTTTATTATTTTATGGGATTCTCTCCAGTGCACTTTGCTTTCCTTGATTCTTGGACGGAAAACTGGGGACAAAAATTGGGGAAGAAATAAAATTTGTTAGTTTATGGCTTTCAATTTCTGTGAAGGGGAAGACATCCTGTGAGATTAACTTCTTTTACCGTACTTTCGCAATTTCTGTAAGCGTTTCAGACATCTTTTATCAAAAAAATTTCATTAGCAACTCCATTATACCTCTAGAAATCCAAAAAAAATTTTGAATTCAAAAAAAATCGAGAAAGAAAAACTTGTTATTTCATGGCTAAAAAATTCACTGAAAGTTTTGAAAAATCCTCTGCGAAGTGATACCTCTCCCTCTCCCACCCTCTCCCCCTCTTCACATATCCTTTCCTTACCCACTTTCTTCTTTTCGCACTGCACCCCCTCTAACAAGGTCTTGTGCACTTCAAAGCGTAGGGTGCAAAGATTAGGCGGATATTGCACCCCGTGTCGCTCCCCTTAAAGCCCCCCCCTCCATAAAATAGCTACGGATCACCCGAAAATCTGTCCCCGAAATCTTTCAGACGCTCGGGGGTGCGAAGATACGAGAGTTGAGTTAAGGTTCACGGCGTCCTCATCTTGTCGCCTTTCTCCAGAGCCGACGGCGGCTGTTCTTTCCGTCCGAGTTTTCCTGAAAGTGTGTCTCTCTTTCCAAGGGGGATGAGCTCGGATATGTGTGTGACGCGAGACGAGTATAGCAGCGTAATTTCATCTTTACACAACGACTAATGTGTGGCCGAGTGTTGCCACCTGTCGAGAGCCGATCACAGATCGCGCATTTGAAGATTATCCGCGACGAGATGTCTCAAAATGGCAATAAGCTAATGTGAAAGCATTTTAGCGCTGGGATGATAACTCGTCCACAAGATAGCTGCTGGCTAACAAGTCTTTTCTAGGTCTCCAACTTCGCTTGTGAGACGACTTTCACTTTGCTATTACTGTCAAGTCACCGGCCGCCGCACCGGTTGAAATCCGTGTCATCCGGGGCGGATACAGTAGTTTTTTGCAGACAGCCGCCGATTGCCCGCGCGTTTTTCGCAAACGCCCGAACGTTCTCCGTGGTCTGCGTCTCCGCTAGCCGCACGCTCACCGCCGGCTGCCGCACCGTCAGCCGCACTCCGCCCCTTGAAGTGTCTCTGCATCTCACATGGTGCTGGCCACGTGCCAAGCCCCACCCCACCGCACATCCCGCTTGCGGCCGTCTATCGTACGTTATTTCGTCGCTGTGCAGCTGCCGGCGGCTGGCCAGCAGCAGCTTCCTCCTTCCTTTCGGTTCCTCCCGCACCGTTCTCTACCAAATCATCCCGGCATATTGTTCCCGGTGCATGCCCACGTAATACTGCGTACTTTTGCCGCATTCATCCGGTCATTCGCTGCTGGCTCTCGGCCATCGGGGCGTGCCGGGGGCGTGTCCTGCGTGCATGACGTGCTGTGGCCACGCCCACCAGTGCGTTCATTCCGCGATAAGTGCGTAGCTCTGTACGCGCGCGCGCACGACAGTTGTACTGTTGTGTGTTGTTGTGTATTTGTGTATGCATGTGTATGTGTGCATGGGTTCTCGACACGACATGATGATGTTGTATGTCCTTTAAGTAGTGAGTGTGTGTATACGCGGGAGTGTGTGTGTGCGGTTAATCACAGCATGTCTTCAACATGATTCAACGTGTCACATGCGACCTATCAGTACCGTTAACTTGTCATCGAACAGGAATTCACTTGTTTATGTCAGAGCTTTATCATTCATTTATAACTTCTCATTCCATTTTTATTCGAATCTCTTGCCTCGCCTTTCCATGCATCGGTTTAATTTCCCATTTTGATGCTATCATTTGTGTGCGTTTACGACATAACACGCATTTTCGAGCTTATGTGCGAATCTTTATGCCTCTTTCGCCATATTATGCTTTTCTAATTCCAGATTGAAGTAATATTTCGTGTTCTACGAGTTCGGAAGCGTTAATCTGGCACGTTTCCGACATATTGACGAAAAGTCTACCAGAAACAGACAATAGTGATTCGCGAAAGTTTCTCTATGTTTATGAGCCGTCTTCGCAAGATGGCTATCGGAGGTCCAACAACGACAGACCGTCCAGGTCCGTAATATTATACTTCTACTACTATTTCATAGGGTTTAACACCCACTACTACTGTTACACATTTCTTCCTCTTGCTCTACTCGTTCATTACAAAACTATTTGTGACCGCATGTTGCAGTCTGGTTCTTTTAATTAGAACGAGACGTGCTTGTCGCGGTCTTTGCATCTTTCATCATATCATCATCATTAAACACTTTTCACTTGTACAACATCAATCACCTTTCAACAGTTTGGGGTTCTAAAAGTGCCTACTTGCACAAATCATATGGGGGGAAAACTCGTCCACTAAAGAATGCGGGCCTGATGTTGCGCGCTCGACTTCATTCACGTGACCTAATCGCCGCGCATAACACTCTATGCTGTATACACCAAACATCGCCGAATGCTATGTGTGTGTGTGTGTGTGTGTCCCACTTGTAGACCAGTTATATCCGGCAGAAACACGTATGGAATGTAAGCTTAAAATTACATGCAGAAAATTGCGTTCCTAGCTGTAAAATCCTGCCTCAAATTGCCGTTTTTCCATTTTTGCTAGATTTCGTGTAATCCGATATTGTATAGCACTAGAACATGTGCAGTCTTATTCTATAGCGAATGATGACGCCGAAAAGCTGACTTGCGGCTGTGTCGACAAAGATGTGACAGTCTCGTGACACTCAGCACTATGTTACGAACTTCACGGTTGTCATCACATGCGCGCCCTGACTAGCCTTCCGTTTTTCTTCTCGCCCTTCCCTAAACACCTTTTGGCGCTGTTTTGTGTTTGATTTTGCGCTTTCGGCGTTGCTTCTTGGCTGCTGGATGTGCTGCATGTGATTTGCGCACTCTCTGAACGCGGAAAAATGCTTCAAAGGGGGTCTCATAAGGACTGCTTATGGAAAAGTATCGTGATCATGAAACAAGTCATATAATTAGTACAAAAGTGTCACATATATAGTCTGCATTCGGAAGCAACGTCTCATGACTACAACACCGCTAATCCTATCAAAAGTTCATTCTCCACCCCCAAAAAACTGAATGCATGTTAGTTTTTCTAACAAGTTACCATTTCCCGAAAATTTAGAATTTTCATGTAAAACAGCGCTTTTGTCTTGTATATAACTCGCCCACATTATACTGAACAGAAAAATTTTGCGACTCATTTCATTTTAAACGTAATGCCAGGAGAAACTAGTCATGACTCGAACAATACAAGCTTTTTTCCAACCATATTACTGTCATTTCACATTTCAACTTAATTTGAGCTTAATTGTGCTGTAACGTAAAACATCCACCTATCAGCGTTCATGACAATCACGTGATACAACTTTTTGTGCCGAGGGAAGTTCCCTGTCTAGTGGCGACGGCGACGAGAAAATTCTTGGAAACTGGCATTTTCTAGACCTCTCACGTAAACACCGGTTTTTGTTTTGATAATTCGATAAACAAGCGCTGCGTGCTACGATTTTTAATTTCGAGATAAGGACGCTCACATCATGTGATTTTGATTGAGAGAGCGAGAGGGGGTATCCCGGCACAAATCAAACCCTGCATTCTTTAGCGGACGAAATGTTCAACTGATACATGAATAGAAGTGCAAACTTATGATCCCAGCAAACTTTGAATATACTGGATATATGTTTTATTTTTAGCTCACGACTATGCCAACTTCAAGCGTCAATACAAACTTGGCGCTGAACTTGGACGAGGTGGATTTGGCACCGTTTACTGCGGATTTCGAATGTGCGACAATTTAACGGTCGCCTGCAAATATGTGATGCGTTCGAATGTGACTGAATGGGCATGTGTAAGTTCCTCATTCACTCTTATTTTTCGTTGAAAGTGTGTGGGGTGTTCGCGATTCGCTTGTTTATCGCCGACGCGATGCGACGCTCACGTGATTCGGGTGTTTCCGTGTGTGTTGTGTGCCCGGAGGGTCGCGCCTATATGTGTGTGCATCTAGGCAGTAGCAGTGGTAGCATGTTCATTCAACAACGTTGATGGCATGCATTCAGCTGACGCTTGCCTATAGCATACATGTCGTGAAATAAGCAAAACATCGAAAATTATCTGGAGAAGAATTTAAGGTTGATGGATACCTTGCTGAAACTCGTACGTTTTAGATGGATGGCCGAATGGTTCCACTAGAAATCGTGCTACTGATGCGATGCCGAGGAATTCCCGGCGTGATTCAAACGATTGATTGGTTTGAACGCCCAGACGGTTATATGATAGTGATGGAACGACCAAGTCCGTCCACTGACCTGTTCGACTACATTTCCGAGAAAGGCGCCCTCACCGAAAGTGTCGCGCGTGACTACTTCCGTCAGGTTTGTGTATTGTCCTCGTTTTCTCTTCGTCGCCTGCACATATGGGCCTTGTTTCACTTTCTTCACCTTCGTTGCGCTTGTCGCGACATTTTAATTTTGCAAAAGTGCATCTTTGCTGTATAGGTGGTCGACACCGTGCTCGCGTGCTATCGTGTAAATGTCATCCATCGCGACATAAAGGACGAGAATCTCGTAGTTGACATGAAAAACGGTCTTGTCAAGTTGATCGACTTCGGATCAGGCGCTTTCCATAAGGAGGGACCCTATACCGACTTCGAAGGTATGTTTTGTTCCCTTACTGTTACTTTTGGCTTTAGAGCGCTTGCTGCTAGCGCGGCGCTTATCGTTCGCTTCAAATTATCTATCAATTCTCCATACGGCTTGAATGTAGTCATGTGATGTTGCGCTGCGAGTGTATTTCTTCAACGGCGTCGCTCTGGCGCCATTCCCCTCTCAGCGTAAGCTTCCGGTTTATTAGTCAGCGCCTGAGGAGTTTTAAAAACAGCTGAAGCTCTTACGAAATCAGATTTGGTTCTGTTTGAGTCCGTTTTGTGGCCGAAAATTAGGTAAAGAGATGCCGCGATTCAAACATCATGTTCGCGTACACATTAGGAGAATGTCGCCGTTCTTGTCATCTCTACAGAAGTATAAGAGGTCATCTCGACGTTGGAATGTAATGCCGCCCGCCTCTGTGAAGTAATCAGTTTGGCGATCGTCCTAGTCATCTTGACTGGTACCAAGGTCTCTCTGTTACTTCGCGGTCACTGCTACCCCGTCGGCTTGGCAGGTCCACACACCATTCGTCCTTTCCGATCATCGTTGCGCGCGCGGAAGTAGTTCGACGGAATTCGCCCCCACTACCTCAGCTGGCACCAACAAGTGCTAGAACGCGACGCAGCGCAAATAAATCGGTCAGCCTAGCAGCCGCACAGCCTGTCTTGCATTCCATTCAAGTTGCGCGAGATGAGGGTATGTTAGTATTGGCGAGTCGCCAAGAGGCTGCAGCGCTTGGCTGCTAGCCAAATCGTGGCCACTTTCCCGCGCGTTGACCTCGTCTGCGCGAGGAATTGAGGAGGCACCACGTGACACTCGCTTTTGACCCGAATGAGCAAGGCGAGCGCTGGCGACCTGACCGCATACCGAACACCCGTAAACAAGCCGCTGGGGTGACCCGACTACTTAGGCTGTTTTGACGTAGCAAATGCGTTGCGATGGACTTCTCGTTGGCTCTTTTCGCAGGGTTACTCGGCTAACACAAAAGAGAGGAGGTACTTTTCCCCTCATAAATTTCTTTGTCTCAGAGCCGCTATTGCCTTGGAGACGAATGTGAGAAAATTGGCGCATTGCCTAGTGAGGTGTTTTCGCAGTAGGCTAATTGGGCTGCGGGCAAGAGTTCGCTCGATGTCAAGTCAACAATGCATCGCTTTACTCGCGCGGTTCTCAAAGCTACTTGTTGTGAGTCCCAAGCTGCTGCTTGCTCGTTGGACATTTTTGACGAAGAGCCAAGGAATGTCCCGCGAACGGATCTTTCGGCCATTTCTAATCAAGATATGCTACGTCCTGGCGTTGACCTCAACCCGATTGTTTACCGGTCAAGCCAAGATGCGCGCCAACACCAGCCGGGCGATCCTCGGCCACTTGTCTGCTGCCGCTGTGTCGCTATCCGGTTATTTCCAGGGATCCACGAATCCTTGGTCTCTTGGTGAGCATTTCGGGGCCAAAATCAAGGAAATTCGCTAGTAGCAATTGCTATTAGGACAGCGTGAATCGACTGCCACATACAACGTTTCGCCGTACTCATCCAGTGGAAATGAATAGCCGAAATTGGCTTGTCTCGCCAGATGGGTTTGCACTCAACGCATTGAATCTCGTCGTCGGACAACCATAAAGCATCTCACTAGTGATCGCGGTTGTCGCAGAGAAGGCCCGAGGGGTGATAGAGTCAATGAGTGCTTGAGTTGGCCGTTTGCCAGCCGCGAGCACGTCACTGACAAGCTTCTCGCAGAAAATTGGCTACTGCTAGATTTCGTCATGGGCTTGCGAGATTCTGGCGCAGATTAATACCTTCGTCTAGCCTACGGCAGCTGCCATAGGTTGGCAAGACCTTTGTGAAACTTGACGCACATATGACGCATTACCCGAGTTGTGGGGCCCGCGCAGTGTGTATGCTAGAGAGATGCCAGTTGTCACGACCTCGATCTGAGAGGATGCGAGGGCGCTCTCATTGCGCGAGTTTATTTAATAGGAGAGTTGTGCAACGCGCAAGTGCAAGTGGTCAACGAAGTAGGACCGGATGTTTGGCCGCGAAGTGCAAGACAATCCCTGTTGCACTTTTGCAGGGATTTGCTTCGCTGGAATGAACCAAATTCTAGGCTATAGGGCGACTCACACGGCTTTGAGTGTGTAGTTTGCATAGTGGACGCGGCACATTTGCTCTGGCACGTACGGTGACATTCCTTCCGCGTTTTTCAGCAGCGCACTTTGAAACGAAGGTGAGACGCAGGTGACTGTGAGACTTGGATTATAAGAAGGGATGTGATCCACCTCGGCATTAGATGCCGCTCAACAATGTTTGAGCGCCTAATTTCCAGTAATCTGACGCCGTAAAGCGCGGAGTGTTGGTTGTGTAAGATTTCTCGCGCATTACTAAACGGGCCAGTCTGAACGATCGGCGGAGGAGGCTGACGAGTCGAGGAGGAATCGCTGAGGTCACGTGGTGCTCGCGCTCGTATGCGCGTTGATTTGGCCTGAAGCCAACCAAAGCAGCAAACGCGCGCGCCTAATTACCTGGTATCGCAAGCACGCAGGTGGCGGGCGGCTCAAATCACGCATGTAAAGGACGTTCGTCGTCGTCGGTAGGTGACTACGGACGCGGACATTCCCCTGGCACTACCAGGAGCCAAATCGCTTTGGTCCGGACCGGTTCCTCCGACCCGCGCGACCGTTCTCACACCCTCTCGGCCGAAATTCTGTCGTTACTCTTTTGCGCAATGCAAGAGAGAAGTACAGACGCGAGGTTGATGTGCCCTCTCTCAGCGCGGTGCAGCACACGGCTCGCATCTCAACCTAAGTGCAAACAAAAATAAGTGGGATTTTTTCGTACAGTTCGTGCCAGGTTCTATTGTTGCGCCGAGGTGCACGCCCGCGCAAGTGCGCTAGCGTATGGAGTTTCTAGCAGAGTCAGCCGTTTCTCGGCCGTGACTCACAATTCACGTGACTACGCAAGCAGACAGCAGCCAGCGCTTGCAGAAAAGCGCATACCAAATATTGCACTTTTGCAAAACAAGATGGCCCCGGACGAGTTCAAATGTTTTTGTCTTTGCAGGAACGCGCGTCTACAGTCCACCAGAGTGGATTGAAGAGTCGCGTTATGATGGCCTCGAAGCAGCCGTTTGGTCTCTCGGCATACTTCTCTTTGATATGGTATGCGGTGACATCCCTTTTCGCAAGGATTCAGAGATTTGCAATGGACATCTACAGTGGAGAAACCACATTTCGGAAGGTTAGCACTACCGTATTCTGATTGCTTTGGTGTTCTGCTCACTTGCAGGCCCTAATTTGTTTATATACACTCCATTTGTCATCTGATACCGTTATGATTACAGAGTGCAAGGATTTGATACGACAGTGCCTTGCACGTGAAGGCAACGATAGACCATCGTTGGAAGATATTCTTGGACATCCATGGATGCAAGTTGAAGGAGCAAATGGTGCAGCAAAAAATGAACTGAACGCCGTACGACACAAACTCGCAAGCGTTCCGGATCGTTTGGTCACGGAAGCACAACCACATCCACATCCACGAGTTCCACTAACAGCCACACGTTCCGATCAGTTCTTACTGACACCATCGACCAGCAACAGTACGAACACTACGGTATCGTCGTCGACAAATACAGCGGCGATTTTTGAAGGAGCCACACTTGAACGAGTTCCACATCCAGAGGTTGGTTCTTTTGGTTCAGCGCTTAGTTCGTTGAGTTTTCGCTCTTTGAAGATCAGTGTGCTTATCAGTTATTTTTTCAGGTTCCACCGTTCACCACCAATCCGCGATTGCTCACCGGTGGACCGATTGGATCTCCATGCCGACGTTATCCCTTTCAGCCGCGTCAGTCGGCATCCGTGGCCCCGGTACCAGCTCAACCCACGACGACACCTTCATCAACCGCCACCGCATCACCAGTGACATCGATATCTCGTGACATGATGTCACAACCGGACAGAACGGACTCATTCGCCTCGATGTGCACCGCATCCGCGCACTCATCGGGCTCGTCTGGCTACGGAACCACGACTCCTTCGCCTCCAATGGCCGATGACTGTCCGCTGGCGACGTATTAGGTGCCCCATCGTGTCCCAACCTTACCACTAGCACATTTCAGTGCCATGTGTGTCCTACAATGAGCTTGCGCAGCTTCTGCTTTCTCCCCTGTTTTCTAGCCCCACATAGCGAGAAGCGTTGCGCCTCATCTCCACCCGGTTACGTATGTTGCCTTGCTCACAGAGTGCATCTGTCTCTCTCGTCGTCGTCTCGCGAAGTCCCGACCCTTAACTCTTTCCGAAACAGCTCTCTGTGCCGAACATTTGTGTGTTTGTGTTTGATTGTCCTATTGTACATACTTATCACATATATCTTCACTGTTCTTATCATATTATTTTCATGCGCTTGCATGCGTCCTTTAATAAGCATCTGTCTCGCTTGTACATACTATGACAAATTGCTTCTCCTACTTTCTCTCTCGCTTTTTGACCCCCCCCTTCGACCCCATGTAAGTACGACCCTAAAGATTGTTATTTAGCTGTATTACATGATATGTTTATTGGGAGTTAACTATAGTAATCCGATACATATATATCTTATATCTTACTCGATGAATGTACTATGCTAAGGCGTGCCCTATTCTCTCTCTCCGTCTGTCTCTCTGTCCTTAGCAAAGTGAATCTTTGCGCTCACACCCTTTCCCTTTCCATTGCGAGAAAGTATGTCGATGATGTAAATGTATACTACTAATAATATGTTGGGAAAAGTTAGTTTGGAAACGCTCCCGCCGCCCTTTTGTGCGCGCTCTGACAAATTGCTCACTCTCCTTTTTCTCTCTATCACAGATGATATAGTAATGTATTGTCTTTGCGAGTTGTAAAGTATATTAATTTATGAATTTTTTTTTCGAAGAAATGTACGAATTATATATTTTTTTATCAATATATGGGGTGGCACACGTATGTGGTTTCGAAATATGCACACTATGATGAATTTTGTATTGTACACATGGAGCCATATCGTCGGAGTGTTGAGAGCTGCTTGTTCCACACAATTAATAAAAAATAAAGATAACCAGTTAGCTTTTGTTTCAGAGCACATACGGTATCCAAGATGCACATACAGTACCAGATTACTGTAATAGGTTTGCCACTGATCTGTGGTCCGTCCATGTAGTCCTAACACATTCATAGATCGACTACGGGTAATAACATCGACAAATTCCGTAATTAATGTGACGGGTAATAGCACTCTTGATTGAGTGCGGGCATTCAAATCGTCTATGGATAATTTCGTACTCTATAATTCCCAAAATCAGGCTGTTTAACGCCTTCGGAATCATTTTCCTCGATTTATTCGCTACTGTTTTCCTACTGAGCCCAGACCACCCATATCGCGGCCATTTTTCTTCCTGCAACGAAGAGGTCATTCTTATCGCAGTGGGTGGCAGCTCGCTGCAGCAAAGCAAAGCACGGCCTTCAAAGCTTCAAAAAATGCGGAAGTGGGCTCTAAGGGAGGCTCTAAGACGCGAAGCCGACACACTGAGGCGAAACGAGGCAAGGCAAGGTTCGAGGAGAGCCGAGGCAGAGAACGTTGGCGCTGGCCCGCGGCCTCTGCACAGCTCTCTACGTGTGTTTTTCATTGGCACCGAGCCAAGCACACAAGACGATGTGTGGACGTATGCGCAGAGCAGCAGCAGTAGAGCCGAGCAGACGTCTCCTTCTCCAGAGCAGCGATGGCGAATCGCGCTCCGCTGCATCGCATCGATCCGCGGCTCGGCAGGACGACGCGTTAGCGTCAGGCGTCTGCAGCAGCAGCTGTCGCGCGCGCGTCTCGGCGAAAGCAGCCCCCAGGGGGTTCGCGTCGTCGTCGACGACGAGCGCCGGGGAACGAGGCGCTCAGCGACAGAACGCTTTGCCAAGCGACAAATATAGTCCTCTTTCATTGCATCACACCTCTCCCCTCCTTTTCCCCGTCACTCTGGGCATTGAGCCAGCAGCCGGAGTACACATGCACAATATCTGTCGCGGGCCCAAGAGTGCGATGAGGACGGGGGAAACCTAGGCCCCGATGACGTGCTACTTGGCGTGAATGACTAGCTTCCGAGTCCAAAGTACTCTCGCATAGATAGTTTGTTTGTTTGATTAATAGCTAAGCGTCACATTCCTTACAAAAACAACAACCTATATGGCGCCAATTTGCTCTTGTACATGGTAAGAAACCACACATAGATGGGGTTGTTAGGGTTGTTGTTAATGTGTACATTGTTCTATTTTTATTGCCTATCCTTTTATTGGAGGGTAAAGAACATGAGAGATAAGATTTTTGATGTCTATCGTATATCTCTGTCACATTACCGTAATAGTGAACTGTGGCGCATTCTAAACCGTCAAAAAAAATTGTGGAACAGGTGGTAATAACTTTTTTACCTATGTTTAATGTATCACATGATCTTTAGTGGAATTCAAATTCTTGCCTAATGATGGGCTCAAGAGATCAGTCCACCTTTTTCCCATTTTTTTTTTTGTAACAATTCAATCTTACTACAGTACGCGACGTGCAGAGAACATTCCAGAGCTAGTTTTGTTCAGGGAAAAATGCAGTTTTGCAGTTTTTTCTATCTTACATGCAAATGATGATGGAATTTGCATGTCGTTCATCAGTGCAAGCGTGTAAAAAACGCAGAAGACAAAGACGTGCTATGCAAAACCAGAACATCGGACTTTGAACACACATACACCTCTCACTTGACATACCACGCACACATCGAGCGATAGATTCGCGCAAAACTCGCAAAAAATCACATGCCTAGTCGTTCAGCAGCAGCAGCAGCAGCTGGATCACCAACGCCGAAAGTCATAAGACATTCCCGCAAGCGCGCAGAAAAGTGTCAGATGTTTGGGCGCGCTACTCGCGCGGGTCTAGCACCCACTAGCGCTTGATCTGTCCAGTGAAGTGCGCGCGCAGATCTTTCAGTTGTCATAAACCGTCACATATCTCTCTTTCACTCGCACATTTCGAGCGCTCATCCTGCTGCGCATACACTCACTCACTCATATACACACACATATGTGCGCCCCCACCCAACACACATCAGCAGTAGCAGCCCGAGCCAAGCCGAGTAGGCAGCCGGCCAACCAGCTGGATCTCGCGCTCTCTCTTGAGCGCTTGAGCCTCATTGCACGTGATTTCCGGGATGCAATAGCATCATCTTTTAGCGATAGTCGGGCGCGATTCCGACGCAATTTTACGGACATTCTCTAAGAAATTATAGAGCAAAATTTATTCGTAACAAAACGTCGATATACCCATGCATAAATGCAAAACACACACAATCACCTAGAAAATTGCCCAAAAAACAAAGAGCACGGTTCAACAAATGGGGTTGACTTAGAGCATAACAAAACGGGTAACGTCCAGAGACTAATTCTTTCCAGCATCCTCCTTCAGTAGCACGGTTCGATTGAAGACAAGCTGGAAGAGAGAGAATTTATTTTGCGCGAAGAAAATGACATACAACTGATTATAGGGTTGACAGAGAGGGGTTACAACTGATGTTACAACTTATGTTACAACTGATTATAGGGTTGACAGAGAGGGGGGCTTTCTTGTGTTGGGGGAGAAAGGTCGAAATTCACACTTGAACACTATAATTGTCGGTTGAGGAAACAAGGCTCAACCGCTACAGAACCAACCCTTTTGACTCAGAGTCCCTAGGGCAGCTTCCAGAGTCGCCTCGTTGCAGAGTTGTGCCAGCGCCATGTTAGCGCGGAGCCGACGTTCACATACCCTGCATCGACCGATCCACGTTCCGGCACGATGCTAGCACGGCGCTGGAACGAAGCTAACACAAGGAACTCTGGATGCAGCCTAGGATGCCTTTCAACAAGAATGTTATACATTCCTCAATAAAATCAATCGCATATCTGCAATCGCACTCTCTTCTTCTCTAAGTCCATTTCTCCCCAAGTATGATGCTAATGCAGTGTGATTGCAATTTCTTTGCACTTTAATTCCCCATCAATAAGCTCGTGACTGTGCACATTTGCGTACCTAATCAGGTGAAGAACGAAAAGAACAATAAGGCATCAGCTGACACTAATCATTCTCTATCTGACACACAACTGATATGTCTGAAAAATCAGCCAGCAACCTAAAAAGAATGTTTATTGATGCTTTTGCAGCGCAGATCTATTACGATAATGTCAGTTATGACGCCAACTACAGGAAAGAAAAAACGTAAATTATCAAGGGAAACCCCATTACTGCTACACTTCACAGCGCTGCCTGCAAACATAGACGGGACTTTTCCAGCCTGCCTTGCACGGCATATTGTTGTCGCCGAAAATCAGCTATTTTATTGCGCATTCTCAAGCGATCGGTGGTCATTACTCAAGTGATCATAAACACTTCCAACAGTCCAAATATAGACTGTGCGAGCGGTATCACTCAAAGGGCATTATTAAAGAAGGCAGTGTTGAATTTCAATTGTATGTGTCGAGTGCGTGTCAGGTGTTATGTATAGGTGATTGTAATCGTAAACGAACAGTAGAGGCAGAAGGGGGGGGGGTGGAAGGTAGGCGAAGCCAAGTGCAACTCTACCCTCTCCCCATATCCCCCTGGAATCCTCTCAAACTGTTGCGATGCTCTTTTGAGACACTTTTTGGTGTGTGTATTTCTCATACAGCGAACGCGGCGATGTGCGATCACATAGTGCACAACCACCAGCGCCACCGCCCACACCTTAAGTGCAACAAAATCCTGCTTCGAACACAGAAGAGCGGATCCGATGCACGCGCGTAAAAGAACGTACGCACTGTGTAATGCAGCGCGCACCACTGACTCATTCCATTCGGTCGAAAAACACGAATGGAATGCGGCCAGACAGAACCACTTCGCATGATAAATGCCGCGTTCAGGGCCTATTTGGCGTTCGCGTGCGCGAACGTTACGTCGGCTTGCGTTTCGGCTAAGTCATGGAAAACCTCTGGTAGAAGTCAGGATGTGTGTGGAGGTTTCCGGTTATGGAAAGGGCTATTCTGCCTCCAAAGCTGTGGATAGTCTCATGGAGATTTTTGCACTCTGTTCCATGCAAAATCTACATGCAACCACCTGCAGCACTTAGAATTTATCATTTATTTAGTCGTTTCCTAGCACGGCCAAAAAATGGTAATTGTATGGCGTCACTCGCGTCAGATGCAAAGGCGGAAGTCTGAACAAACGACAATGCATGTCATTGTTCCACCAATTATCTGAACTTATTTGCACAACCATCAACACATTCTCGACATAGGTTTTTCCAAGACGTCCTGATGGCTTTTAGGATTCCTAGAAGCCCGCAGAACCTCTCAAAAACTATGTCACCGGCTCCACATACGCATTTGAACGGCACTTGACACGCTGCATCAGCGGCATTTCACGTGCCCGACGTCATACACGACTTTTACTTCGAACGATGAGCAGTCCGTCGTGTGTTGTGTCTGTGTGCGATGAGTGTGTGTATATGTGTCGATCGTCAAATTCCACGATTCTCCTTTTTTATGCGTTTGCAGAGCTAAGAACGCACAGGCGAAACGAATTGCACGTTCACACTGACGCGCCGCCGTTGTATGTGTGCGATGTGTCTGTCTGTGTCTGATAGTTCTGAACACGGGGGTGACGGGCATATTTACAATTTTTGCAGAAAAGACATTTCTGCTGCAGAAATTGCACGCAGATAGCCTTTTGCAAATTATGAACAATCATTCTTTCGAAAATAATCTGTTGTTCCATAGATAATTTCCTTTCAATCTTCAATTTTCGGATATTTATCACACTAATTAGCTTACGTAGCATTCTATTTCAAACATCGGAAATTATCGTGAAACTAATTCAACAAAGTGTCTGCAATCACGGCTTACACGTCATCAAAGCATCGGGGATTAGCCTCAGAGCGTGATTACGTGGAAAAGGATATATGTTGCTTTATTTGCACTACGCGCGCCGCCTTACTACGCAATCACCAGCTGCTTTGACTATGACGTCGTTATCGCCAAAGCATTGAAATTGACGATCTTAGTTGCTCATTCGGAACGGGACTGCATTCAAAGTGAATGACGTCGTTATGTGGGTGTTTATGTGTTCAGTTGTGTAATTATATACAATTCCATAAACTATACTGTATTTGATTGCACGTTACGCCATGAATTTAAAATCAATGGCGCGTTGGTGGGGGCGTAAATTCACATTTTAAGCAATTCAAACTGCTCCCATTACACCAGCTCCCCCTGTGGGGGTGTTAGCAAATGGGAGTTTGTCTTTTGATGTGATGTTGAGTCGTTTCTGAGTCATCGCCTCGTTTTCGTGTGATGTCTCAGCCGACACATCACGAGCTGCTGGGGCGTTTCGGACTCGACCCCACCCGCATTCCGATCTAGAAGTATGATCGCGCAGACGCGTTCTTTTCGCCAAAACGATTACATATATCGCGTCTTTGAGAAAGCGGGACGAGTGGACATGAATTAGGCCGATTTGATGTGGCAGACATACTCATTCCTTTTTGAGATGTGGCCTCGATTAGATTCAAAGAGGGTATGCATGGCTTTGAATGAGAATACCGCAACTATAGTCATCCCCATCCCAGTAGGCATCTGGTTGACAGTTTGAAATTTGAATTGGAGCAGGCCATTTGCCGTATAGCACGGCACCACCTAAGACATTAATAGAGGGGTGAGGATAGCGTGCTCTACCGCCGCCGGACCGCTCCAATTCAAATCCAGAATCGTCCACAAGGCTCCTCTAGGAATAGAACTACACCTGTAGCTTCCGCAGCCATTTTTGGAAGTCTATCGGAAGTTTGGGTGAACTTCCTAGGTCACCCAAACTTCCCATAAACTTACAAAAATTCACATAACTCAGAAAGTGATAGTGCATCAAACACCAACACCCACACTTTTTCCATAAAATCGTTCAATTCATATTTGCCACATGATTTCAAATCCGAACTGCACTCTGCGTAAACAGAGAGTTTTGTCATAACAGTTCGTCCAATTTGATGTTCACGTGGAATATGGCACAGACAGTGCCTTTTGTTCACAATTCGTCGAAATAGGGGAAGGTTTTGGCCGGCGAGTTCTGAACAAATATGGCACTAGAGGGGGCTGTTTGATATTGAATTCCTCACTGTATGTACAGGTGCATGTACCCGGCTGTTGTACTACTGAAATGACACAATATTCTCTCGGGGGCACAATAATCGCGGGGGGGGGGGGGAACAACGTGGGGTTCGCCGTCAACGACATAGTTGCGCCTATTTGTGCGCCTTTACGTGTGTGTGTGTGTGATGTGCATGGTATGTGTGCTGCGCTCTCTACAGTCACATCAGAGAAAAGTAAAAGTGACAAATCGCGCGCGAATCGGCGGCGCTGAGCGAGCGAGGAGAAGATCAGCTGACTTGCTACCGGCGCCGCGGCGCTGCTGCAGCTGGATGCTGGCTGCTGTGATGGTGACGATGATGACTGCAGGAAGCATGTCACGAGGAACTCCACACAGCAGCCACCTGAACAGCGACAACGAACGACTGCGAAAATGCGTTAGAAGACGGAGGGGGGGAGGAGGAGGGGGGGGGGGCTGCGACTGCGCGTCGAGTCCATTCAGAGTGTGGTGAGAGTTTAGTGTGGCACAACAGCACGGCCCTTACCTAAGTAATGGTCCAAGTCTAGCTGCAAAAGATGGATTCCGAAGCGAGAAAAGCTTCAGAAGTTCATGGGAGTCCAAAAATAATGTGTTATTTTGGCGTCGAGCAACTAGATATGATATCTGTCTTTCCTTATAGAAATCGGACTGGACTTTTCAAGCTACTTGGAACGAAACAGCACAAATTACTTTCGGATCACCCACGTTGATGGAAGACACGGACGTGTCCGCAGGAGACTTTTAGACCAATTCTTTCGCTTGGAGTCCATTTTTAGCAGCGGGACTTTGGTGCGTCAGTTAGACGTCCCGATGTTGTATCGCACTTGAGTCTCACCAACCTCAGTTTGGGTGGACGGTTCCTTTGAGGTGTTTTTTTACGTATAAGTATCAGTTTTTAATAAGTTATAGTCGATTTTCATTGCCAGCTATCCTTCGCTACGACTGTTCGGTTCATCTATCTCATTCTCCACTCGCAGCGGCGCCTACAAATTTTTCTGCAATCACCCACGCTGACAGCACCGCTGTTTTACACATCCCACACCGACTCTTCTCAACTTCACGGGCTTTCCCCGGGGTTGCGTCGGCTTTTGATAATTGCCCGACTCGATTAGAGTGCTAGCGAGTGTGTGTGTGTGTGTGTGGTCGTCGTCGGTAATACCCGAATTGTCCTCTCTGTCAAGTAATGTGTTTGCGCAGCTCAAACAAACCAACTTGCGCGCTTGTCCGCTTCTTACTCGGGTAGCTTTGACCTTGCTACATAAATCTTATGTGCTAGGGTGTGGTTGGCAAGCACACCAAAAGAAACACGGTAGCCAATACCGGAACCGGAACCAATTTGGCAAAAATTCGAAATTCCATGTTGCAAATTCCAATTACATTACAATGTATTTTTCGTTCTTATTCATCGCAGCACACACCCTAATCCTTCAATTTTTATTGAATGAACAGCAACGATCGAGCAATGATAGCAGCAGTCACACCAGGCGCCAGGAAATTTATGGCAGACCTTGGGTGTCCAGATTTCTATCTTAAAGCAATGGAATGACCCATGAAAGAAGCGCAAAAGAGATACTCAACGCACGTCTTTCGTGTGGAACCGTATGTAAAGGTATTTGGGGGCTGGCAAAAACGCTCATAGGAACTCCTAGGAACACCCTTTTCGGGCAATTTATCACTATTGATGGGTACTTCTCTAGAGAAATAGCGGAACAGACGGGCGTAGAAAAAAATTCTGGTCTGTGAAACTTAGCAAATCTACAAGGGGAAAAATGAAACTGATCGAATCGAACTTCAACGAATACCTATCAATTTCTACATTTTCTCAGGACCATTTAACACAAGACGAATTTCTCTTGTGAGCATATAACCATCGTTCTGCTTGAGTTCTTCATGCTCTCGAGTAAAAAAGTGAATTTTCAAATTTTGCCGAATGATCCAGTCCAACAATTACGGCCTTTTCACAGTCAATTCCTGCATTTCCGCCCCAATTTATGACTTCCAAACATATTAAAAGTTGGTTTTTGGTGCCTGCCAAGCCAACCCATAATGCCTACCCCATTCTTCCGAAATTCTTTCAGAATCCAGCTCAAAAACCGGACCGACTTCGTAGAAACCAGGCACGCGCTTCTAGGCTTTCTTTTGCCCATTCCACAGCTTGCGCGCCAGGTCTCGTGACCTGTGCTTAGGCTGCTGCTGCTGCTTAGGATTGTGGGTGTGGGTGTGTGTGCAGATAGTAATCGCCAGTAATCGCGGCATTGGAATGTTCAAAGAGGAGCGGGGGAGGGAAAGGGGATGAGGATACGGGGATGCGTGGCAGATAATTGCAGGGTTTGAAGGACCGCTACGTAATCGAGACCGGGTTGGGAGAGGGGAGGGGATGCGCCGGCTGTATCATTGCCGCACCAGTCCTCTTTAGAGTTGAGCGATCTCTACCTGATCCCGCGAGTGGAGGAGAGCAGGGTCATGGCCAAATTTCCGAGGAATGTTTATGTGTGGCTCACGTTGATCGGGAGCGAAATCAATCTGATTACATCTCTAGTCATCATTAATCATCAATAGACCACCAGGTCTTCAAATCTCTCGGGTCATCATCTCTCCATTCCTATACAGGAATCGGGCAAAACTGCCATGTCAGCACTTACTCACCACTAATATAGTTACCATAAACACTGGCCGAGTTGCCTGTTATCTTTTCGTGAACCGTGACGGCAGTTTGGCGCCAGAATAATCTTGTTAGCTTCCGGATGTGATGCTTCGCTGAGCACACAACGCACATACATACGCGTTGCAAGCACGAGGTATGTGCGCTCGTTTGCACGATAACCTGTCATTGACATCACCTTAGACAAATATAGCCGGTCATTCTGAATCAGAGCAGCTCTATCCTTGCGAAGGAAGTGTGCAACGCCAGCACGAGACGAGGGGCGGCTGGGTTTGCATACTTGCACGTCTTTTGCAACGGATGTGAAAAAACGCGAAGAAAAGACACAGCCATATGCGACTAAACCAATCCGTTTGCGCAAGCAATAAAAACACAAAACGCGTCGCTTGGCTGCGTTTGATTGCTGGAACTGGAAAAATTCCAACGTTTCAATGTTCATTTCAATGTGTCTGAACGCGCGACGAACGAGACGGGTGAAAAGGACAAATTCTTGACGGCCATTTCGTTGCATCGACGAGCCGTCCGCGGGTGCAGAGGAATCAAAGCGATCGCCCTTTGCACGCCACGCTCTCTGCAAAATTGCTATGGCTGCGCCCATCTACCAATTTCAAATATCAAAGATTGGCCATTTTGAACTCGCATTAGTCAGATGAATTAGTCACATTTAGGCTCCTTATGGGCGAGACAAAATGCACATTTTGCGCATTAACAATCCAGCAACGAAATGAACTTTGAAAATAAACAAACGCAGAAAAAAGGTGTCTGCCGAATTTATGACTAGAGAAGAGGGGGGGGGGGGAGGAAAGGAGGCTAGAAATAAGAAATTTGGGTAATGGCGTAGATGATTACAGTGTATGTTCTTTGGATAATTAAGGTACGCAGAAAATAACATTACAATTAATAGCTTATAAGGCATGCTAGGGTTTTTGTCCTCATTCTGCGGTCAATTTATATAATTAACCACTTTTAAGGTCTCCAATGGACAGTGCGGTAGATTTACTACCGATATCACAGAAAAAGAAGAACTAAAATGCACATGAAGGCGATTGAAATGTAAAAAAGGCACCAGACACCTTAGAAAAATAGTGCAATCACTGTATGTGCTAGAATGAGGACGATAGTAAGTATAATTACTGACAAAGAACAGCTTGAACAAATTCTCAAGCAATCTAAAAATGTACCTAGTTCTTTGCAGTTCAATGTCTTAAGCGAGCTACAGTATCCACAAAAAACTAATTTGCAATTTCTTAGCAGACATTATTTTTGCAGACTTGGGTCTGTGAAAATCCCACCCCCCTACGACTGTCTAGACTCCAAATTCAAGAAAACGCAACAGACCCATTCAAACCACGTTCGAGTTTTTTGCCCGTCTCGCAAAAGTAAACTTTCCTCGCTTTTCAAAAGAACATCAATTAGTTCTGCTAGTTTTTCCACACACATTTGGGTGTGTCCTTTGCGTCTTTTTTTGTGTCATTTGTCCTTGCCACATTCTTAGACGCTTAACGAGGACGCTCAGCACGTCCTTTCAAGAAGACGCTTTCGCACAATTAATAAGTGCTTATCACGTCGCCTGCCAATAGCGCTTTAAAATTATCTCCGGTCGCTTTTGATTTTTAGACGCAAGAGAGTAAGGCGTCAAGGGATAACTCGTCCTGATTAGATCATATGACCTCGACTGCTGCTACTGCAAGAACAGCCGCGGCGCGACAGTAAGAAAGAACGCGGGGAGCGCAAGATTTGAATTAGGGCTAGGGCTCTGACGCACAGCACCAGAGAGTTTTCTAATCTGATGTGCGAAGACTAGAACATTACTAGAACATTCTAGGGCGCAGGGGCCAATGACGTACTTTATAACGGGATTGCTTGATAAGCCTATCAAACTTTTGCGCACATGCGTCAAACATCATGTTGCCGGGGTCGTAAAATCGCGTAAATTTTTCATGATCCTGCGTCCATATTACACAGTTTTGCAGCGGCGCAAATTCGTCGTAAGATGAGCACATGTGTTCGTGTTTATGTATGTATGCGCTGCAAAATGGGGCTACTTCGTTCGTGTGTGCGCGCGACACGTTAAAGTGCAGTGTCATGGTATGCTTGGTACAATGAACAACGTTAGAGAAGAAGGCAATGCATACATACTTTAAGTAGGGCAGTCTGGGGACGGAAAGGGGGAGGGCTCGAGCGGATGGGAAAGTAGAGAAAAAAGGTAAAAAATGAAAAGGAAAATGGATTACAATCAGGCAAACACTAACCTTCCCAGGTTCGCTATCCTGATCCACACTGAAGTAGCCAACCCGTTCAAACTGGTAGCGATCGTAGACCTTGGAGTTTGCAATGGACTTGTCGATCAACACATTGAAAAGCACGGTCAGTGAGTCCTGGAAAAATGATTTTTGGAAAAATTTGGCAACCCTTGGAGGTCTGTTGGGTAAGAGTAGTCTTTGATCTTCCATGAATATATTCTATCTCAGTATCAATTTGCTGCGATCCTCAATCAATCACTTCAGCCTCTGCTATTTGCAAATCGAGCATCTTTTTGCATAAAATCTTCAAAAAGGCAATATTATGCATAGAAAACCATTCCGATTTACATATTGCCCACAAAGTTGCAAAGCCATGCATTATTTTCTCGGCTTGCAAGCGCATGGTGGGGGAGGGGGAGAGGGGGGGGGAGGGGAAGGAAGGGGTGTAAATAAATTCGCAATAAACCCGAGACCAATATTGAATGTTTGTGCAGAGGGCTCGCTTGAAATTGGTGTTGATGACAACAATGAATCGTGAGCCATATGGGGCTCTAATAGAGAGATGAGAGTACTAGTTGTTTTTCGATTACCCTTGGATAAGTGTTAGAGGGGCTCTCAAGCGTGATTCCGGGAAAATTACAGATTCCAAGAAACCATACTTATTTCTCAATCCCATAATCTTCAATTCTAGGTCATGGTGCTCTCGCTCTCAGACGATGAAGCGGAAGAGTGCAAAGTGCAAGGTGCACTGGGCTCTATTTGAGGACATGCCTGCACGTTCGGAACGTAATTTATCGTCGTCGTAGTCTGCAAGAGTGCAGATCTGCAGCCGACTGCTGCAGTATTTTGGACCCCGACGGGCCACCTCGTACACGACACGCATTTTGTGATTAGACATGCAGGGATGTCCGGGGTGGGTGGTCAAGCGAATTTCGGACATTGCGCAATGGACAAATTGAGGGCGCGCGGGCGGCTAACTGCCTTCGTTTATGGAATTTTGGTAAAATATGCCAAAAATGAAAAAAGGAAAAGGGAATGGAAGCAGTATAGTCTCGATTAACAGAATCACATGTAAAAAAATTACCGCCCTACAAGGTAAGAAATAAGCTGTACAGCCAGAAAAATCAAAAATAAATAAATTGGTTAAGACAAAGAAAGAATTGAAATAAAATAAAAACCAAATGAAGCCCTTCTAACCTCATTGATATCTGTCAAAAATCCTCCCGGCACTTCATTCGGATCTTCTGGATTTTTGCTTTTGAATCTGTAAACATACAGTCACTTGATGAAAATTAATTATTTAGCACAAAATGAGTACTAGAATTTTGTTATTGTCATGAAGTCGATATGTCCAGGGCAATTAAAATCCAGGGCAGGGGCAAGTCAATATGTCCGGGCGAGATTAAAATTAAATTTTGGGCTAAAAAAGTCATTCGCTACTTTGAAAAAACAGGTATCCACTACAAGTGCAGAATGTTGCCCCGAAAGGCGTTCCTGCACTTTTTTGAATCATTCAACAGTCCAAAAAGCTCTAGAGTTTCGATTGTCTTGTTACTCTAAAGCTTTCGTTTACTCAATTTATTTCTGTGCAAAAACCCTCGATGCAATTATCTGAGCTATCGACCTCAAATTTTCACCATTTTTTCAACTATCACGAGCCACCGCCCTAATCCTTTTCTCAAGAATCGCATTTCAGGCTCTTAATCTGTGGAAAATATTTCTCCATGATAACAGTAAACCTCTCAATTGACGCAATAAGCAGCTTCCAGGCATTTTTGTATAGCTCAACTTCAAATCCTAAATGGGCATGCTCCAATTATTGTGATAAGAATAAACCTCTCAAGTGACGTAGTAAGCAGTTTCTCTGCATTCCTGTTTCAAATCACAGCCTACGGTACAGCCGTCATTGTGCAAAAAAAACAAGCAAGAAGTGCAAAGCTCTTTATCTGAGGTTTTTCCTCTTGTCACTTTTATCAATCACTTTTTCACAAAATAATCTATAAAATTTTGAACGACTTCAAAACATTCCTTTTTGAACCGAACAACTGTCCTTCATCATATGTTCGTGGCTGCAATTTTTTTGTAGTATCGTCGCAGCGTTATGGTCTTTCAACTACCCCACGTGCCTACCGCGGTTCTTATCATTTTTATGGTTCCCGAAATGCGCTTCACTCTGACAATGACAATTTCGCAAATTGCTCTTGTGGAATGTTGCAACATCTCACATAACTGATAACAGCTGGCTCCGCTGTCGCAGCACGATGCGGATGCTGCGCATCGCCATGTGATCGCAGCATCCGCAAAACGCTGCGATCACATGGTGCGATGCGTCATCCGCGACGCTTTCCGCCGCGTCACTGCCGTCGCCGCTTCTGCAAGCGCTAAGGCAATAGCACTGCAACATGAAAAAAACTTCAATGTATACGATCGCGCCTGACGAATGAGACGACATCGACGACGATCGTAAACGGCCACCCAAAACGCGTCCAAAGACACCATGCACAACCATGCATTCGGCGCATCTTCTCGTCGACATTTTAGAATTCAATTAAGCCTGGGGACAAACACCGACAGAAGCAAATATGATCCGTGGCCACAGTGTTGATCCCATGATTTCTACGGGGGGGGGGGGGGAGGGGAGGGGGAGGCACTCAAGTAAAAGTGGGCTAGCGTTAGCCAAATCTTTTGGGATGTTTCCTATTTTTAGAAAAAAAATTTTTACACAGCTAATTAAATTTTGAAAAAACTCAAAAATTAATTATTTAAAAGACGGGGGGCACCCCTAAAATTTTTTTTTTCGAATTTTTTCGTTAGCCACGCACCTTCATTCGAAAAAATTTTTTGTCGCGCCCCCCCCCCCCCCCCCCCCCGAGCGGAAATCCTGGGTACGCCACTGGGGGGAGGGTATGACAACTCTGAACTGCTTTCCCAACAAATCTTCTGGTGCCTAATCGTTGAATATTTTGAAGCAAAACATTTCCACGTTTTCGTTCAAGCTTCGATGTCATGGCCATTGTTCACATAAAAATACCAAAGAATTTCAATAATCTCATTTTTTTCGACGAACCATACTTCCAAGGATTTTTTAAAACTTCCTATTTTTCGCTTTCGAGTAACTAATATGCAGATGAGGAGGGGGTAGGAAAGGATGTGGAAAAAGATTTCTCTTTATGACTCGGCAAAATTCCCTCATTTCAAAGGTTTAATTCCTCGGTTTTTTGAAGTAAGAATTTTGGATTTCAAACTTTTTTCATTTTTATTCTTCAAAGGTGAGAATTTCAATTGTTCGTTATCCACTGGCAGATGAATACAAGCCTCGTTTTTTACAAAATCGTATAAGAGCAACTAAATCGATTCCAGATGCTCTTCAAGATTCTAAAACCAATAAGATTCACATCTTGATGGATGGATGCTAAACTCGTTCGTATTCTGAGTGCACTTTGATTCCACAAAAAATTTCTACGATGGTCTAATTCAAAGAGTATGATGTTATACGATTAGCGACAAAAAGTTCAGAAAGATGATGCGAGCGTCGTTCCGGCTTCTTTTGAGGAATGTCTATCTCGAGTTCTCCTTGCGCTAATGCGGTTTATACTTCTTCTTGAGTTCGCTCCAAACCACAACTTCCCTAGCCTCTCGTATAAGCTTGTTTTCCGCTTTGAACTCGCTACACATTCAAACCTCACGGGTGTAGGGAACGCGATACCACGGTATGGATGAATCACGGTCACTTGACCATCGGCACACACCATAACACCGCACAATCCGAGCCGTGTTCGCGTCGGATGACATTAGGTAAACATAACAAACCCTCTTAGTTTATAACCGATGACATATGAGAGGATTTTTTTGCAGAAAAAAGCGTTTTTGCGTGTTTTGAATCTAGTGGATTGCCACACCAATAAGGGATTGGCCATTTAGCAAAAAAGAAAAAACTGCAAGTTCAAACTGCATAGATGATACATCAAAATTAGCAGTTGCTACCGTAATCCTGCAATTTCGAAATTGCGCAGTTATGACCCGTAATCGAGAAATAACCCCATTCCACTTCTGAGTATAGTAAGATCAAACACCTGGTTACGGTTCTGCACTCAAATGATGATATTAATGTCATGAAAAAGAAATCAATGGGCATTTAGCCTATGACAGCAACCACGTCCATTGAACTTTCGAGCAATTTTTGGTAGACAGATACGGTAGCGATACGGTAGCCATTGACAGATTAGCTCGACTCGATATCAAAAAACAAACAAACATGAATGCTCTAGAGTTTGTTATTTTTTTCATGATACCATGTTCAGTATAGTAACGCGCACTTTACACCGAATCTGTCCCATTTCAAATCAGTACTGCAAAGGTACGGTATAAGCAGCCAGTAATGTGTCGGAATCTAAGCACATAGTTCGGCTTTAAAATTCTTATTTACAGATCGTATTAGTTTCGCAGAGGATTCCTGAGACACTTAAGGCTGCGAGAATGCGATTAGAGATTTTTTAAGGTTTCTAATTTACACGGCAAGCTATGTGGATGGACTAATAAATTTTGATGAGCGGATTCGGAGCATTTTTCTGCCACAAAAATCGATGAATCACATGAGAAGTCAAACCTTTAGCAAAATTTCTATTATTTTTACCCTCCAAAGTTGATGTCCGCGAAGTGCAATGTTGCACTTCTAACGCACTAGCTATTTCAGTTGCACGCGCAATTGACACGATTCGGGCTGGTCCAGTTCACGCGCGCGTGAAGGTGCGCGAGCGGCATTCACCACGTGTTTTAAGGTACAGATGTTCTTTTCAACAGATTCTAATCTATAGAATAGAATGAGAAAAGTGCGGAAGTAATTACGCAGTGAACCAACTTAAGCCCAATAAAAATTTCGCAATGCAACAATTCTCAATTAATCGGCTACCCAGTTGCAAAGAGAGGGAAATTCGCTTCCAGTAATATACTTTTGTACTTTATTTGCACTTTGAAGTTCGTTCATTCTCTCTTTCATTAGCGCCAGTCGACCATTTGAACTTCCGCTCCCATTCTGCGCGATGAATAAATCACCACCGCAGAGGTGCTATGTTCTGGAAAATCGCCAGTTCAGTCATTATCTGCTCGCAAGCGGCGGTAGGGCTAGTATAGGGCTATTTCTTTTCCGACGCACATTATCGCTCGATCTCAAAATATACAACTTCGGAAGATGGTTGTACCTTGACGTGGGGCTTTCCAGCTGGCTAGTTGCATACGTGATGATGCATGAAAACTGGGTGCAAATCTATCATAATATGTCAGCGAATTTTTTTCACTGACCATTTATGTTTTTTTCTTGCAGACGAGGAACTCCATGCATTCCTCGTTCGCACCATTTCTGCACTTTTCGATGTTGCGATGTTGCGTGACAAGGATGTGAGCCGAGAGACTGGCTTGATGCCATCATCGAATGCATAAGAAACGTTGGCGCAGCCAGGCAATAGCAAAGCGTCGACTGCATTCGTTTATTCGTCTATGCGACGATGAACTACTGCGCCGCTGCGACTTTGCACTTTTGGCCCAGAATTGCAACATTGACGCGAGTTCAAAGACTGAGGCAGTAGAGAGCGAGCGAGCTGGTTTGCACGGAAAGCAGCGCTCCGCTCAGCTCCGTTCTCCACTGCACAGCTATAGCAGCACTCTCGCGTGCGACTGCACTATGAGGCAAAAAACCACTGAGGAGCTGCAGCCGAGAGAGAGTGAGAGAGAGATGGAGATGTATGTCTGTTAGTGGAACGGACAAAATTTACGGGGGATCGGCTGCTTCCATGGCAGCATTCACATGGCATCACGAAAACGTGTTCAGTGCTTTTTGATTGTAGTTTTGCATGTGACTTTCGCTGCTAAGAGAACAATGTCCGTAGTTGAAGAGAGAAAAGGAAAAACGGGGACTTTTCTCTTATGATACGTATCTGGATAATACTTTTTGAGACTTTCGTACACTAGTATAAGACTACAATTCAACAGATTTCTTCACAGCACGGACGTTCTTCAAGCGGTGACAGTACTGTAAGCGTACGGTAAAAACGCGCTCTCACGTCACGTTCCTGGCCTAGCCCAAACCAGACTGTCGCGTTCAGTGAAAATACTGTAACCTACAGTGGTCTCACCACTCGAATGATACTGTAGATTCATAGCCGAACGCAATATCCAGGGAATGTCTCCGAGCGAATTTGTGATCCATCTGGTGTCACTGCACACAATATGCACATTAGGCGTCAAATCCAGAATGTACTTGAGAGCGCA